TGTGACCCAAGATGTGATCTATCCTGGAGAATGTTCCATGAGCACTTGAGAAGAATGTGTATTCTGCTGGTTTTGGATGGAATGTCCTTTAAATATCAGTTAAGCCCATCTTGTTTAATGTATCCTTTAAAGCTGTGTTTCCTTATTTATTTTCATTTTGGATGATCTGTCCATTGGTGAAAGTGGTGTGTTAAAAGCCTCATAGTATGATTGTGTGACTGTCGATTTCCCCTTTTTTGGCTGTTAGTATTTGCCTTGTGTATTGAGGTGCTCCTATCTTGGGTTCATAAATATTTACAATTGTTATATCTTCTTCTTGGCTTGATCCCTTTATCATTATATAGTGTCCTTCTTTGTCTCTTGTAATAGTCTTTGCTTTCAAGTCTATTTTGTCTGATATGAGAATTGCTACTCCAGTGTTCTTTTGATTTCTATTTGCATGGAGTATCTTTTTCCATCCCCTCACTTTCAGTCTGTATGTGTCCCTAGGTCTGAAGTGGGTCTCTTGTAGACAGCATATGTATGGGTCTTGTTTTTGTATCCATTCATCCAGTCTGTGTCTTTTGGTTGGAGCATTTAATCCATTTACATTTAAGGTAATTATTGATATGTATGTTCCTATTCCCATTTTCTTAATTGTTTTGGGATTATTATTGTAGGTCCTTTTCTTCTCTTGTGTTTCCCGCCTAGAGAAGTTCCTTTAGCATGTGTTGTAAAACTCGTTTGGTTGTGCTGAATTCTCTTAGCTTTTGCTTGTCTGTAAAGATTTTAATTTCTCTGTCAAATCTGAATGAGATCCTTGCTGGGTAGAGTAATCTTGGTTTTAGGTTTTTCTCTTTCATCACTTTCAGTATGTCCTGCCACTCCCTTCTGGCTTGCAGAGTTTCTGCTGAATGATCAGCTGCTAACCTTATGGGGATTCCCTTATGTGTTACTTGTTGCTTTTCCCTTGCTGCTTTTAATATTTGTTCTTCGTATTTAATTTTTGATAGTTTGCTTAATGTGTGTCTTGGCATGTTTCTCCTTGGATTTATCCTGTATGGGACTCTCTATGCTTCCTGGACTTGATTAACTATTTCCTTTCCCATATTAGGGAAGTTTTCAACTATAATCTCTTCAAATATTTTCTCAGTCCCTTTCTTTCTCTCTTCTTCTTCTGGAACCCCACGATAATTCGAATGTTGGTGCGTTTAATGTTGTCCCAGAGGTCTCTGAGACTGTCCTCAAATGTTTTCATTCTTTTTTTTTTTATTCTGCTCTGCAGTAGTTGTTTCCACTATTTTACCTTCCAGGTCACTTATCCGTTCTTCTCCCTCAGTTATTCTGCTATTGATCCCTTCTAGGAATTTTTAATTTCATTTATTGTGTTGTTCATCTTTGTGTGTTTGCTGTTTAGTTCTGATTCCTTGTTAAATGTTTCTTGCATTTTGTCTATTCTATTTCCAAGATATTGGATCATCTTTACTATCATTATTCTGAATTCTTTTTCAGGTAGACTGCCTATTTCCTCTTCATTTGTTAGGTCTGATGCATTTTTATCTTGCTCCTTCACTGCTGTGTGTTTCTCTGTCTTCTCATTTTGCTTATCTTACTGTGTTTGGGGTCTCCTTTTCGCAGGCTGCAGGTTCATAGTTCCCGTTGTTTTTGGTGTCTGTCCCCAGTGGCTCAAGTTGGTTCAGTGGGTTGTGTAGGCTTCCTGGTGGAGGGGACTAGTGCCCGTGTTCTGGTGGATGAGGCTGGATCTTGTCTTTCTGGTGGGCAGGTCCACGTCTGGTGGTGTGTTTTGGGGTGTCTGTGGACTTATTATGATTTTAGGCAGCCTCTCTGCTAATGGGTGGAGTTGTGTTCCTGTCTTGCTAGTTGTTTGGCATAGGGTGTCCAGCACTGTAGCTTGCTGGTCGTTGAGTGCAGCTGGGTGCTGGTGTTGAGGTGGAGATCTCTGGGAGATTTTCGCCGTTTGATATTATGTGGAGCTGGGAGGTCTCTTGTGGACCCGTGTCCTGAAGTTGGCTCTCCCACCTCAGTGGCACAGCTCTGACGCCTGGCTGGAGCACCAAGAGCCTGTCCTCCACACGGCTCAGAATAAAAGGGAGAAAAAAATGAAAGAAAGAAGATAAAAAATAATAAAGTAAAATAAAATAAAGTTATTAAAATGAAAAATAATTATTAAGAACAAAAATTTTTTTAAGTTAAAAAAAAAATGGACAGACAGAACCCTAGGACAAGTGGTAAAAGCGAAGCTACACAGACAAGATCTCACACAGAAGCATACACATACACACTCACAAAAAGAGAAAAAGGGAAAAAAATATATATATCGTTGCTCCCGAAGCCCACCTCCTCAATTTGGGATGATTCCTTGTGTATTCAGGTATTCCACAGATGCAGGTACATCAAGTTGATTGTGGAGCTTTAATCCGCTGCTCCTGAGGCAGCTGGGAGAGATTTCCCTTTCTCTTCCTTGTTCGCACAGCTCCCGGGGCTCGGCTTTGTATTTGGCCCCGCCTGTGCGTGTAGGTCGCTGGAGGGTTTCTGTTCTTCGCTCAGACAGGACGGGGTTAAAGGAGCCGCTGATTCGGGGGCTCTGGCTCACTCAGGCCTGGGGGGAGGGAGGGGCTCGGAGGGCGGGGCGGGCCTGCGGCGGCAGAGGCCGGCGTGACGTTGCACCAGCGTGAGGCGCGCGGTGAGTTGTCCCGGGGAAGTTGTCCCTGGATCCCGGGACCCTGGCAGTGGCGGGCCGCACAGGCTCCCCGGAAGGGGGGTGTGGACAGTGACCTGTGCTCGCACACAGGCCCCTTGGTGGCGGCAACAGCAGCCTTAGCGTCTCATGCCCGTCTCTGGGCTCCGCGCTGTTAGCCGCGGCTCGCGCCCGTCTCTGAAGCTCCTTTAAGCAGCGCTCTCAATCCCCTCTCCTCGCGCACCAGGAAACAAAGAGGGAAGAAAAAGTCTCTTGCCTCTTCGGCAGCTCCAGACTTTTCCCCGGACTCCCTCCCGGCCAGCCGTGGCGCACTAACCCCCTGCAGGCTGTGTTCACGCCGCCAACCCCAGTCCTCTCCCTGCGCTCCAACCGAAGCCCGAGTCTCAGCTCCCAGCCCTGCCCGCTCCGGCGGGTGAGCAGACAAGCCTCTCGGGCTGGTGAGTGCCGGTCGGCACCGACCCTCCCTGCGGGAATCTCCCCACTTTGCCCTCCGCACCCCTGTGGCTGTGCTCTCCTCCGCGGCTGCGAAGCTCCCCGCTCCGCCACCCGCAGTCTCCGTCCGCGAAGGGGCTCCTAGTGTGTGGAAACTTTGCCTCCTTCACGGCTCCCTCCCTGAGGTGCAAGTCCCATCCCTATTCTTTTGTCTCTGTTTTTTCTTTTTTCTTTTGCCCTACCCAGGTACGTGGGGGGTTTCTTGCCTTTTGGGAGGTCTGAGGTCTTCTGCCAGCGTTCAGTAGGTGTTCTGTAGGAGTTGTTCCACGTGTAGATGTATTTCTGGTGTATCTGTGGGGAGGAAGGTGATCTCCGCGTCTTTACTATTCCGCCATCTTGAAGCTCCTCCCTTTCTCGGTTCTTTTCTGTTGAATAATAGAACACTGCATCCCGATGTCAGGAATGCAACGTTCTATTGAGCCCAGGTCCTGTTATAATATTCTGGAGAAAGGTGATGTTTTATTTAGCTCTAACCGACTAGTTTATGCTTAGACTGCAAGTTTTACCTCATTTTCTGTAGGTTATGGTTTAAATCTCACTTCAGTTCTCTAAACGTCTGCCGTGTTGGTTTGGGTCTGCCGTGTCATGTGAAGTTCAGGGATTGGTTTGCAACTTGTGTGCATAGTGCAGATCTCAGCTCCGTTCTCTAAGCCTTCTCTCCGTTGGTTTGGCTGTGTTCTGTACTTCCACTGCTGACGGATCAGGCTGAGACTTGTGTATTCTAATCTTAATTCACTTCCTACAGCTTCGCTCTGCTGCTTTGAGTCTGGGCTGCATGTGTACGGCTTCGGGGTTATTCTTAGGCCAGTGCTGGTTTGTGCACAGAAGTAGAGTATTTCCTTCTCTAGCTCTCTCCCTTCCTGGGTTCCTTGCACACTCTTCAGCTCACAGGGGCGTTATTTTTTCTGGTCCTTTTCACCAGGAAGTCAGGGCTTCTATTGGAATTTAGACGCACATTCCTCCGCTGCTCTGTGAATGAGCCCACCCCTAGGGCAAAGCTCAAAGGAAATAAAAGTTAAACCCTTCCCCAGGGCGCTTGACTCTTCCACAGTTTACCTGCCTTTTTTATTTTCAAAGTGCTCAATACAAAAATAGATGTTTTGGGTCCAGAGGTTTTAGTTGTAATCAGCAGGAAGGATGGACTGTAGTCAGTTTTTCACGTGCCATATCAGCCTGCAGTTCCTTAGGGGTTTGTTTTTAAAGTTATTTTCTGCTCCATTATAATTCAGTAGCAAATAATTAGGCAAAATTGCTGAAAGTTTAGAAGTTCATTTGTATTTCAAGAAGATGTTTATGATTTTGCGAAGGAGAAATGAATAGCACATAGAAGTCTTTGACTTTGATTGGGAAATTAAGCATTGATGGCATACACCATGTGCCCTGCGCAGAAAATAGTAAAATAATTTTAGAGTTTTTACCTTTCAACCTAGTGGGCAGTAGACTTGCTTACAGTGAACAAAGAATCAATATGACAATAATAAGCATATTATTTGCCAAAGAAAGGGGTTTTTCCTCAAGGGTTGAAATACCGTTTTTGTTTAATTAACATATTAAAGCCCCTTCAGATAATTAATAGCATAAACATAATGCAACTTAATTTTGAATCCATCTTCAAATCAATATAACTTTAATATCAGTGGAAAAACTGAATTAATGGGATTCCTATATTTTATTAGCTAATTTGCTTTTTAAGTTTTAAAATCTTATTTAAGAAAAGTCCTTTCATCAAATATATGATAATTTCTTTTTTAGTATTTTACTTAGGGTGGCTGATGCAGGCTTTTCTGAACTCTTTTTAATTAAACCACAGACACCACCAGACCAAGGAGAAGCCAGGAGAGTGATGGGGTTGAGTATGTCTTCATTTCCAAGCATTTGTTTGAGACCGATGTACAAAATAACAAGTATGTGGACTTCTTTTAGAATCTTTGTATAACTGTTGTTTTTAAACATGTGCCCATATGTCTAGTTGTAGACAACTGAAGGTTCCCTTCCGTTTGAAATGAATTTTCATTTTTATAATAATATTTGAAACTGATAAAAAGGTAATTCATTTAGTGGTTATTACCCATCTTTGCCTGTAACCTTTTAATAACCTAGAGCTGTTGTGTATCTGGTAAATTGAATGTGTCGGGATTATTTTGCTAGTGTAGTATTGTGAGATCGTCCTACCCCTGTAATTGAATCTTAATGTAGAATTTAGATAGAACTTTATTTTAGTAACTAATAACTGTGTAATAGATCCCTAGTTCCAGTCTTTTCCACGTACCTCCCTCTCTCTCATTGGCTCTTCAAAAAACCAAAGTAATGTTAATCATCTTGCTTGTACCGCGTCCTCTGGCAAGTGCTAGGTCTCCCAGCCCCTGGTTTTCCATGTGCTGAAGCGTGGGTATTTCAGGGTATCAGGGAGCAGCGTGTGCTCTGCTGCAGGATTGTGGGGCTTTATTGAAACATCGAAATGCTTTTTCTGTGTTTGGCACAGCGATGGAGTTTTTACAGCACGTTCTCAGCTGTCCTGCTCGCGTTAGCCACCAGCCAGTCCTCCTCGAGTTCTAAAGCTGAGCTTGGTGGTTCTTTCGTGTGCAGTGAAATTTCAGTAGTTTTTATTGTTTGGCTTATTCACTGTTTTATTGCATTGCATTAGTTCTGAAAAAGAGGTGATGGAAAACATTAGAGTCCTGCTGGACTAAAGTACTTTTTTTCTGCTTAAGTGTAATACAAGCAAGTGTTACTGATTTGAAAAAATAAAATAGAAGATTTTTTTAAATTGACATTCTGGAGTACTTGGACCTAGTTATTTTATTAAAAGCAGTTTAAAAAATTACATATTCAGCAAAAACGTCTTTTATATATGAATTATGTCTGCCATATATAATTCACAAATGATTCTCATTTCTACAGGTTTATTGAATATGGTGAATATAAAAACAACTATTACGGCACAAGTATAGACTCGGTTCGGTCTGTCCTAGCTAAAAACAAAGTTTGTTTGTTGGACGTTCAGCCTCATGTAAGTGAACAGTGACCTATTCAACACCCTTGAAGCCCATGTAATCTACCACACTTGAGCATTTCAGTATGGGGAAAATCTGAAATCTACTCACTTCTGGCATGTAGGTGGCTTTCCTAAGGTGACAGAAGCATTTAAATGTCAGTTGAGAAGTTTCTGCTGAAAAGAAGCCCATGTTGTTATTAGGAAACAGGGGTCAGGGAAGCCTCGACATTTGTTTGTAACTCTTATTTAGATGCAGTGTTTGCCAAGTATAATGTCTCTTAGATATTTCTTCTATGCATTTTGTATTTAAAAATGTGTTGCGTTATATGTATCATGTATTTCATGTGTGCATTGGTATAAGTGTTCATCATTTTTGACAGTGGACATTTTGGTTCTCAGTCCTCTTTCGTTGATTTTGGTTCTGTAAATATTCTAGAAGTGTAAACTGCCCGGCAGGAGCCGCGGGCATCTCACAGGAACTGTACCAGGTACAAGTCGCCAGGTAGAGCTCGCCTGGCACCCTGGGAACTCATGTCACGTGGACTGAGTGCCAGTGGGTGAAGCAGTGCACTTCCCTGTCTCACCGCAGACCCCCAGCAGAGACGCAGCCCACAGCATTCTCCTCGCTACCCAGAGGCAGTGCTGCGAGCTTCGTGAAAAGCAGGGGGCTTGCCCTTTGTAGGGGACTCTGAAGGGCAGAATGAAAGAGGAGGGAGACCTCAACCTGAGATCAGGAAGAGGCTTAAACAGGATGGTTGGAAGACTTTCGTGTAAAGAAAGTTAACTCATAGCGTCTTTTGGGTATTAGATCTAAAAACTAGTTTTCTGGTATTTTTAGCTGCTTCTCTTCAGTATTAATTATGGCATATTTCAAAGCATTTTTAAAGACAAGTTACATTCTCCATCTTTTGAGACGTGTCTATTACATTTAATTGTCAACAACTGATTGAACAACAATATATTGAAAGACCTGCTAACCTTAATTAGGAAATAATTTTAAGGAATTTTCTCCTTAGAAGGAAAATTCAGTTTTGTTATAAAACTTACTCATGACATTATGAAGAAATGTAAGAAAACTTATTTTCTTCATTGCAGACGGTGAAGCACTTAAGGACACTAGAATTTAAGCCCTATGTGATATTTATAAAGCCTCCGTCAATAGAGCGTTTGAGGGAGACAAGAAAAAATGCAAAGATTATTTCAAGCAGAGATGAGCAAGGTGCTGCAAAGCCCTTTACGGTGAGTATGAGGATGCTTTACTGAAAGTACACAAGCAGGACTTAAAATCATATGTGCAGTAGTGACCCTGCATTAGGGAGACGGCAGTAGATGAAGGTGAGATCCAAACACCCACACGAGACAGAGCTGCAATTAGGCGCTCGCGTTCAGTGATTGCACTGTAAATACTTTCTCGGCTCCTGTGAACGACCTTCATATTACACTGACTCTAAGCTATTTTGTATGCTGTTATGTACACTTATAAAATTTTTGAAGGCACATGTAAAAAGTCAGACCACTGAGTTTTCAACTAGCCTTATTTTTAAAGGGAAAAATACCAAAGTCAGGTACTATTACTCATTAATAGTCTAGATGAAAATTTAATAATTTGCCTTGTCTGTTTGTATCAACATCATATTTAGCATAGTGAAAGAGAAAGCATCGTTTTGGGTGTAGGACAGTAGACTTGCATTATTCCGTCTGTATTTGTATTTCCTTTGACTGTTATCAGAAGTGGCAGCCGTGGTTTGTTAATGACTAGAATGACTGGCAGGGCCTTTCATTGTTTTTTGTTTTTAACCATAAGACGATGTTTTCTACTTTAGGCTGAAAAATAAAAAGCGGAGAAATTTAACGGCAGAAGGTTTTTTCCCCTCCCTCTCTTAATTAACTCATCTTTAACTTCAGTCTGTATTAATTTGTAAACTATTAATTGTGGGTACCAAGTACAGATAATGTTTTTGATTCCCAGTATTTTAAAAATATCTTTTTTCTAAAGTACTGACAATACACAACCCTGCTGAACAGGTACTGTTACATGAGGTTAATTACTCAGGGCTCTGGATTAACACTAAAATGAAAATTTCTGTTGTGAAAATCTTCTATGACATTGAAATGTAGACTCTGAAAAGACTCCAAGAAGTCACAGTATAAAGAGTTATTGTACTATTTATTATAGTATTGTACTATGTGAAGATTTCTCAATGAAGATAATAAATGATAACATAAGATTTAACTCACGTTTATGTACATAGTCTTGTTTTATAATCAACTAAAATTCTTACTGTTTTCAAAAATGTGAGTATGAAGGGCCCCTGACCCACTTCCCACTTCTACTGAGACGTAGAAGGACATAATATGTGTCCTTTCGTAAATGTATCCAACTCTGAAAAAGTAGTTTGTTATACATTCCTTGCTATGAATAAATGTGAACAAGGCAGGCAAAGCCTAAGGGTAGACAATTCTCCTTTAATACTGAAATATCCCTGTAATGATAAGCGAGTGACTAATTATCCTGAAATTTAGGTAAGGCAGGAGTTTTGCCTCTTGTCAGGGCAGTTTAGTTACAAGCAAATAGAGAGAGAGGGTATTAGAAATTATGGCTTCTGAAGAACTTATAGTTAAAGAGGATAATTTTCTTTCGTGGCTGAGGTGAAACAGTGAACACAGAACAACATTAGATAAACCAGTTGTGCAGTATTTGCATTGACGTGACGTGATAAAACTGCCTGGTTAACCAGTTTTTTAAAATACTTCTTTTTGTAGGAAGAAGACTTTCAAGAAATGATTAAATCTGCCCAGATAATGGAAAGTCAATATGGTCATCTTTTTGACAAAACAATAGTAAACGATGATCTCACCGTGGCCTTCAGTGAGCTTAAAACAACTTTTGACAAACTGGAGACAGATACCCACTGGGTTCCAGTGAGCTGGTTGCATTCGTAACTAAGGGAAATTTCCATAATTATCTTTTCTGTAGAGTGCATGATTAAATCAGTTACCATTTTGGTGGTAGGGTTTTTTAATCTATATCACTGTTAAGATGTGCAATCTTGGTTAAAATTGATGTGTTGGTTTTGTTTGTATCTTTTTACAGCCTTATTTCAAGCACAGTGTTTGAGTTTAAGGTCCAAAGTCAAAATCTGCCCAGTACCGTATCCTCGTTTTCTTGACTGTGTAGCTCTATCTCCAGAATGGGGTTGAACTTTTTAGGGAGACATAGCTGGAGAATGTACACGGGAGTTCAGTGCTTCAGCTGGTCTCCGACGTCATCACTGCCTTGGAGTTTGCATGTCAGCCACTGAATACGTTCAGTTCACAGTCTTCAGGAGCCAGACATCATCATAGAGGCGCCTGGGCTGGCAGTAAGGCCGAGTCCTCTTACTATTCTGCAAGTGCAACCTTTTTCTTACGTAGACACAACATATTCACAGTTACAGTTTGAGAAGGCCTTATGAGTGCATATATCAGTGACTCAACAAATGTTTAATAAGGGAAGATGGGCTTTTAAAAATTACTATTTATGAAACTAAAAACCTTTCTTTATGGCTTAAGAATGGTGATATCCTGGGGCAAGTAACGTTACAAAGGACATTTTTATTTGTAAATCCTCAGACAACATTTCTGGACTCACCAGAAATTCTGGAGCCAGTTATCTGGCTTTGGGTTTTCCCAATAAATTATAAGAATGATTCCTATTCTAAAAGTAGGTTTTACTTGTTACTGCTACAGTTAAAGAAAATGTGATCATTTTTCAAATGTGTGCAATTGATCACAATATATTTAAATTGCACTATAAGATATATTTTAGAAAACTTTTCATGTAATGTTATTTCTTCGTCATCAAAATATTTAACACTGGCCAGATACCATCCTAGTCTTGCCATTTTTAAAGAAGTTTAAGAAAGACTCTTCTGTTGTAAATATTTAGATGGGATCTCTCATTTTTCTTTGATGCTACTTATCTTCAGCAAGTAAATTATACAGCTCAAAATACCAGAAATGTCCATAGTTGTATAAGAGAACATGTCCTCCCATTCTTGCATGCCATAAGACCCTGTCAATCAGAAATCATTGCATCTGTGACTTTCAAACAGAAAAAACGATATTTTTTGTTGATTTGTAAAGAGAGTTTAGATGTCCTGTTTAAAGAAAAAGAGTGTAGTGAAATTTTATATATTTATGAAATATTTGAAAGGCATATTTTTTTAATTATCAAATGAGGCTATTCATTAAATAAATAGTATGTAAAGACATCATAATTTAAGATAGTAGTTTTATAAGTCAGGGTCAACATTCCATGTAAATATTTGACCTTTATTCATATGCAGATCCACAAGTGTGTTCTGTGTGCACAGTTGATAGCATCACTCACTGAGTTTCCTTCAGACGTGTCAAGTTTCATACCTTGATACACACTCACAGCTAAATAGATAACCAGACATTGTTACTTGACAGCATAATCCAAACAGCAAGGTCTAAGTTAATTAACTAAATAGCAAGCAATTTAGTTTAAAAAGGGGTTGGTGGGTTGCCAGATCTAATATTGAAGCCATACTTTATAGTTGTGTGGCTGGTCTAAGAAAGTACAAATCTTCCTTAGGTGGTTTGGGGAGAATATTCTCTTTGAACATTGACTGAAATTTCCGAAAAATCAGGACTTCCTAGGAAATGAATTATAATTTAGGCAGTCCAAATTCTTTGTTCAGAAATAGTACCTGGTTTGCTTTTTTTCATTTACAGACAATTGCCTCAATTCGTTCCTGCGGAGGTAGAGAGAGTGTAACGTGGTAGAAACGGAGTCCTTTTTGGTGGTGGTGGTGGAGGTGTTATAGAAATATATTTGTCCAGCCTTTCTCCCTTTTTACACGAGAGCTGGGCAGTATTTTTTTAAATAATGAAAAGAGGTACTTCAGCAATTTGAAAAATCTTTTATCGGGTAATATACATACGTGGTCATGCAAGTGACGTTTACATGGCCACCTTGATGCTTAGAAAGAGATTCAGTTAAAATTTAATGCGGCAGGGCCAACTCCATGGCCTCTGACTAACGTTGCAAAGGGCCCTTGATTCTGTACTTATGCATCCTCAGCTCCCTCTCCAGCAAGGACAGACTAGTTCTTCAGGCAGGTTGCTTCTGAGACAGTGTCAGCCACTATTTGAGAGAACAGGAATATTGGGTTTTTTAAGTCCATGTATTTAAAATCCAAGATCAAGAAGATAATTCCATATTCCCATTATTAACATACTGGAATCTTTTTTTTTTTTTTACCATTATTTTACTTACCAATATAGACATTATCGATATCTTTAAGGCTGACCTTCCTGGCATTGTGTAATGATTGAATGTATCTAAATTGTAATAATTTAAAATTGACAAACATGTAAAACGAAATTATGTTGTTAAAAGTTTCCTGAAGATAGAGTTTTATTATTTATTTTCTTTTTGACTAGTAAGAGTTTATAAATAAAAGTCATGGAAAACCTTTGAGCTTAATAAAGTATCTTCAAATTATGTGTGTGCTCTCTCGAAGATGCTCTTGCACTTGGCATCTACTTCACTGTTTCCAATGGTGGAAAAAATTGTTTTTTTAATGACACCAAGTGATATATTTGAACTGGCTCTGTCTAAAATTAAATTTCATATTTGTTTCAAACATTAATTGGTTTCATCCAGGTTGTTGGAGAGGTGGACTTCACTAGCCTTGCTCTTACCCACACGGTCCAGCCACTTAAAGCTGTGGAGCAAAGAATGGCATGGTTGGTCCCAGCCCGTCCGTGATGGGGACACCCCGCCCCGCCTCTTTCCGTCAGGCATTGAGCGGCACCCACATGCTCTGCCCCTGTTCCAGGTAGGCGAAGTAGACTTTTCCAGCTCTGCATGTGAGGACAGACTGCCACCTGCTTATACAGACAGGCTGAGTGGCACTGGCCTTGCTTAAGCAGCTGAACAAGTTAGCCCAGCTCTGCTTCCACTGAGAGGCTGGAGGATGTAGCAGTTAGGGGCGTGGGATCTGGAGCTGGATTGTTGAGTTCAGATGCTGCCTATTACGAGTTTTATAACCTCGTTTAATCTCACTGTCGTTTTCTCACCAGAAAATAATGGAGATAATAAGAGTGCTTACCTCATAGGATTGTTGTGGGCATGAAATGAAAGAATTGATCCGTGTAATGTGCTTGGAACAAAGCCTGGGCTAGAAGTGCTCACTGATGGTAAGCTCGCTTCACAACGGTCACTCTCACGTCACACAGTTTAAAAGTAGCTGCATAAATATTCTTAATTACTCCACACGAACAGTTCTCCTATTAGTAAATTCACAGGAAGCTTCCTAAATAATTTCTATGACCAGCTTTATTGTTTTATAAAAATACCATTACTTCCAAATGATACATCCAAAATTCACTGGCTGATTCTCAACAGGAAAGTGAACCAATTTCTATTTGCAACCACTAGTATGGAATATAACTGATATCAGCTGAAAGAAATGTCCCTTAATTGTATCCCAGCCCTTTCTTCTGCTACCGCACTTCCTTTCCAAATGGGTGCTCACTTACACTTCAGCTTCTGGGGGGCAGGGAATACTTTTACTTTTATAGCAGCTGTCTTATTCACATACACCTACCTGGGCCCCCTCACTGCCAGACCAAACTGTCCTTACCAACGTCAGACATCTGTATGATTTGTCTGCGATTTCATTTAATCCTTACAGCTGCCTTGTATGGGAGTGGTAGCTTCGTATTTTACAGTTGAGAAAACCAAGGTGCTGGCTTCCGTACCTGGCCCAAGGTAACAGGTGACGAGGAAGGAATCGGGGCTTGAACTGGTCAGGCTTCCTCCAATCCCACACTATTTCACTGCATTGTGCTTCCTGGTGGTGCTAGAACTTGAGCCAGTTCTGGAAACAGGTGAGATTTGGTCATTAGGGGAGTGATTGTTCATCCTTTTGATGCACAGCAGTTTACAAAGAGTTTTCTCAGAACACTGTTGCTTTAGTCAGATATAACTTGATTTATCTATGTCTGTATAGTGGGCTGATCTTCAAACAGTGGCTATTATCAAAAACATACCAAAAACTTAGCATAATATGCAGTATTTCTATTTTGTCTGTTTGAGTACCAGTCAGTGATAAATCATGATTGGTCTAATCAATCACGACTATCACCTCTTTGCAAGGATGGTTCTGAGTTGGTCATGCCACCCACTTCGAGGTAATGTCTGTCGTAGGAGCTATGAGTAAGAGCTGTTTCCCTGATTTAAACAACTGCATGAGGTGAAAACCTTTTATGCTCCTGCCCCCATGCTTCCTGTTTGAGATGCTTGTTATGTTGAGGTGCTTGCAAAGATGACAGCCATAACCCTAACCCTAAACCAATGGATGACTAAGGCCAATCTATAGATGACTGAGTAGAAAAAGGAACAGATCCTCAATCCATAACGTCACTGAGGTGCTGAAAAAAATCCTGGGACCTCCTTCCTCTAATTACTGAAAAAACAATGTTCTTTTACGCTCTGTTGGTGAGAATGTAAATTGGGGCAGCAGCTATGGAAAAGAGTATGGCAGTTCCTCAAAAAAACTAAAAATAGAACTACCGTATGACCCAGCAATTCTACTGCTGGGTACATATCTGAAGAAAATGGAATCACTATTTTGAAAAGAGATCTGCACTCCCACGTCCCACGTTCACTGCAACATTATTCACAACAGCTGAGACAAGGAAACAGCAAGTGTCCCTCAACAGATGAAGAATGGGAGGATGCGCACACACACACACACATACACGAAGATTATTCAACAGTTAAAAATAAGGAAATTCTGCCTTTTGTGACAACATGGATGTATCTTGAGGGCATTATTCTAACTATAATAAGTCAGAGAAAGACAAATAACTATATGTTATCACTTATGTATGGCATCTACAAAAGCTGAACTAGAAATAGAAAATAGAATGGTAGTTACCAGGAGTTGGAGGGACAAGGGGGAGGTTGGTCAAAAGGTACAAGCTTCCAGTTATGAGATGAATAAGTTCTGGGGATGTGATGTACAACATGGTGACTTTAGTTAACAACCCTGTGTAACATGCTTGAAAGTAGCTAAAAGAGTTGCCAACAGACACACACACGAGGTAATTATGTGAGGTGATGGAAGTGTTAAATAACCTTGCTGTTCATCAACCACAGCAAGGTTGATGAACATGTATATATGTTCATCATATATACATGCGTCAAATCATCACACTGTACACCTTAAACTTACACAATGTTAATTATATCAATAAAACTGGAAAAGATGTTCTATTAAAAAGTGTTAGTATTTAGCTGTTGTTTACTTGCTGCTGGAAGCATTCCTAATGGAAAGCAGTATGCATGACAACCTAGGCCACTCCCAGTGTCTACGTTCACTTTCCAGAAGTGTCACGTGCCTTGCAATGATGCACTGAGCTTTAAAACATTCTGGAACTTGTAGCAAAAAGTAAAGCAAGAGATCCCATTTAAATTTTATTTTTCTTGGGTTCCACGTTTTTTTCCTCCACAATATGGATAAAATTTAAGTTTGGGGAAAGTTGTTCATATGTTTTTGGGTTTCCAAATTTATCATGGTTGTGAGTCTACCATTGTGGACAAAGTAATACCTCTTTAACTGTTTAATCTGACCTGGGCATTAGTAATACCTAAAGGCTCAATGCATTGGGCTCCTGCTCTGTGCCTTGGCACTCTGCTAGTGAGTAGTAGGTGAGCTGTTTGTGATCACTGGCTCCACTTAAATGGAGAAAAGACCTAAATAGCAATATGTTTACATAACAATGGCTACAAAATGTAATTACTGTACATGTCAACGAAGAGCTATATAACATAAAGTGATAACTTAGGGAAATACATTGCTCTTAGGAATCTAGAAGATACCAAAACAATTGAGGATGAAAGAAAGAAGGAAGAAATGTAAACGTGCTTAAATATTAGTTAAATTTTTAAAAAGTATTTGAAGGCAATCATCTGTGGAATTGAAAGTAAATACAAAGAGGAATCAGAAAGAGACTCCATTAAATGAGATGACAGAAACAAGGCCAAATGGGTCTCTTATTACAGATCTAAATGCCGTGAACTCATGTATTGAGACCATTTTTCAACTACATCAAAAATGGACATCAACCATATTCTTCAAGGAGAGAAAGATTTAAAGTAAGAGGATTGACAAAAATAAGCCAGGCAGATGCAAACAAAAAGAAAGCAAAACAAATAAATAAAATAAGAAAACAGAAGGCACAATAATAATATCAAGATTGAGCTCAGTGTTTATCAGGTGGGCCAAAAAGTCATTCTTCAGTAATCAGTGGTATAAGTCACAAAAGGAGGAACTTCGAAGACACAGGGTAAAACCTTGAGAAGTGCAGTCAATAAAACCATCTTATTTGATCATCTTTAAAATACTTCTCTTAGACCTTGAAAAAAATTGTTATAGAAGGTCCATATATCACAATTCCTCAGCCAATCTCATAGCCATGGAAAGAATGCTTTTTCCTGCAAACTGAAATTATACCTTCTATTCAAGAGCCACACTGAGCATTTATAAAACCCAGTCCTCAAGTAAGCTACAAGAAAAACCTCATTAAATTCCAAAATATTTAAATACTAGTGACCACAGTCCAATAGAACTAAAAATGAATAACAAGTAAACACCAAAAAAAGACCTCTTAGAAAAACTCAAAATTTAAAAAAGTATTCTGATCATGGACTAAAAATAAAATTGTAGATTATTCAGAAAATAACAATGTAACTATCAGAATCTATGGACTAGGACTAAAAAACTGAGTTCAGGAAAACTTGTTGCCTTAAAAGCTTTTCAAAGGAAAGAAAAATAAAAATAAACACGGGCTCAAGCAGCTCCGGAAAGAATAACACGAGTGGTATTTTGGCTAGGCTGTAATACACACTGACTTTTCCAGGAATGCACTACCATGTAAATCAAAGGAAGATAGTATTTCATTTTTTCAGAAGTTTACCAAGAGTTTTTCACTCTTTTGGAACATCATGCCACTAATGGAAACACCACTCATGCTGTCAGTCTCCAACATTGCATGTCAAGGCACACCCATGCCACGATGTGTGAACCTACCCCATGCACGTGATCACTGCTGTCTTTGGGGAACTGCTGCTTGAGCATTCCCATCTCACAATGTGAGCTATTTTACTTTCCACTGCTCTCCTTTTCCTTCTCCCTCATATTACACTGGGCTCCATTTTATTATTTTATTTTTTATTATTTTATTTTGCTGCACCACGCGGCATGCAGGATCTTAGTTCCCCAACCAGGGATCGAACCCGTGCCCCCTGCAGTGGAAGCATGGATTCTCAACCACTGGAGTGCCAGGGAAGTCCCTGGGGTTTCTTTTTAACTGTGCAGACTACACTATATCTGTGGATTTCATTTCAAGATAGCAGAAGGGACGTCACAAAAATCTCTCTTATAGGAAGAGACCACTGAGTATGATGGGAGTGAT